TATTTGTATGACGACAGTCAGTAGGCAGGATCTCTTTTCCCGTTCTACACTGTACCGTCATTAGCCACCCTTAGATCCGCCACGGCGGATCTGCTACGTTTCAAATGTCCCGACAGTATCTCCGGCCGCATCCGCGTCTATAAACACGAACGGAAATATACTCTACTCTCCCCCGCGGCGGTTGCCCATTCAGGCAATACGTAGTGGTTAGTTTCATTCACAGCTAATCCCCACCCTCGTGGATTCCGCGCGTTTAATACGCGTGCATGTTTTCGGCCGTGCGGACGGACGTGGCTAAACAAACTGTACTGTACTTAGGTCCCTCACTTATAGCGGGTTTGGACCGATCTGGATTGGATTAATGATGTTGCATGCTCTACTATTGGTAGAACATGTAATGTCAATTAATAGTAGAGCGTATACGACGTCGTTAATCTAATCCAGATCGGTTTAAACCTGCTGGTGAAAAATGTTATCAGGTACCTCACTTAGGTCCCTCCGATTGGCGGCGATGAATTTTACATTTTATGATGAAACCGAAGGAAAATCATAATTAATTTCGTCGGGATAAAAAACGTCGTGGAATCTGCATTGTCATTGTATTGTCACTCAACGAAGGCCATCAGTCGGGAATAACGCCCCGATCGGTGCTCCGACTTGCAACGATAAAATTCTTGTCGCCCAAAAAAAAAAGAAGAAAAAACACGACGTGCACTCGAGTCGCCGATTATAACGTAATTGAATGGAGATTACAACGTAGATCGTGCGTTGATTGCTTCGGATGATTTTGTTATCGCTCTGCAATTATATTTCTATACATTTCTCATCTCTATCGTCTTCCCGCTATAAAGCAATTCCATCGAGTTTAAACATAATATTGCACAGATATTTCAAGAATTTCTATGAATACCCTGTGTATATATGTATATGTATATATACATATCTCTCTGTCGAGTAGTTAGATAAAACAGAGCTTGAAATATATAGCATCAGATTTTTTAAATTTGGATCCTCTGATATTGTTCTTTTAGGCTACATTCCAAAACTTCCTCTCCGAGGAAAATTTTATTCCATGTATTCCAATACAAAGATGAGACAGTCAATAATACTATCAGTATTAACAAATATTGACAATATTACTGATCGTGTGTGGTTAATATTGATGAATTGATGTAGAATACTGACCTGGATTTTAATTCTCCTGCATCAGTGACTACATTTACACGGCATCCTTAATCGAGTTCAAATAACATCTGTAGTTATGAAACTGATAATCATAGCTATATTCCTGTGACAAATGGAATGACTGTGATTAGCCAATTTTATAACTACGGATAATGTTAAACTCGGTTAAAGATGTCGTATAAATGTAATCAATATCGCATTATTTGATTATCCATATGTCACAGTATGTCCCAATCAACCAACACAAAAATGTTAATTTTAACATTTTTGCATATATGTCTCAAAAACTATACGTTTTTAAGTTAAAATTAATATTTTACTTTTTACAGTGTACTGCTCGTGTAAGATTGTAAAAATACTAAAATATTGCTGTATACTGTCAGTATTACTGATTCAATATTACTGATCAGTATTATTAACCGTGATCAGTATTATTAACCGTGTATAGGATCATCTTAAGAGGATTGATCAGAGTCTTTCCTTTCCACGAAATGAAAGACCTCGGTTAGTTGATTCTCTTATGCTTTATGCGTTATACAAAGATCTGTGCTCCAGCCTTATAGCTTGACATTAGTATCGAGTCTTTGCATTGCAACTGTAATAGTGATTAACGGGATTGGAAAGTGAATCTGCATGTAAGGTAAAAAGCTGAGTGATATACTCGCTTTGACTCGTTTCAACGAATCGTTTATGTCCATACACGCGCGCATCTATAATACTTTATACGAAGGGGTAAGACCGGTTTAGAAGTGAGATGAGCGACGTGTCATTGCTCGCGCGAGCAGATGAAAAAAATTCCTGAAAGCCACTATTGACACGTGGTAACATGTTGCATGGAAAATGCGTCGTTCATCGTGATTCTTTCCGGATAATGCTTACTGGAGTGACTGGAGTCGACGTCTAGACGCGCGCGCATGTCGGATGTGCACTTCATTGCACACTACGTGCAGCCGTCTCTCGCGGGCATCTAAGTGTTATACGTGGTATGTACGCACGTATAGAAGGGAACGAATCGAGGCGCATGTAACACGTGCACGCGCACAGAGGCGGATCCGCACGCCCCGCGTCGTGCAAAACCAATAGTAAAATGCGACTTAATAGATAGCCGTCATTTGCGTCGCGGACAGTGGCGATTAATAAACCGATCTCGCAGAAGCAGTTAAGTGGCTGAGACGTCGCTTCATTAGGGATAAAAGGATTCGACAACTTCATGCGCTTTGGATCCTTCTGTATTGAGATACCGTGAAGGTGCCATTTCGTGAAACAACACTGAAAACGTCAGCGTGGTCACGTAGTCTCACTTTGACGTTTATAGTTGTTTTCCATTTTCACACAAGTGATACTGAGTCTAAATAGTTATATAAATATTTTATGCTCACATAATGACGTCACTACTTGCTTACTTTGGTGACAAAGTTATCGCATAACAACACAGATTTATAATCTCACTTTTAATGTGATTTAGCAAGAAGTTCAATGAAGCATATGATTTCGAGCTTGTGTAGATTGTAGTAAAAAAACTCAGTTGAATCTCACTTTGTCAGAATAAAAAGGACGGTGCATTCAACTGAGTTATGACATCATAAATGAGAATTATTTGAATTTTCATGTAAATGGAAAGCAATTAATGTCTAACGCTAAAAGTTGGACTTATGTAACTTTCAACGTTAGCTTGCTCAGTTCAAGAGATCGAAGTTTAAGTACATACATGATACTCCTTTTCATGCATTTTCACTGTTTGGCGTCAATTATTTGTCATATAACCTATTTCGATACCGAAAACGAGTATCATGAAACACGAAAAGGTACTTTAAACACTTGACGACGACAGAAATGTGTAGCGAGCACGAAGCCGTCACGCGCAGTAAAAACTCGTTGACTATATTTCGCGAAAGAGGATGTAAGAATATTACCTCAGGGTAGACGATTTTACTTTTCGCTCCGTGAGATCGATGCGGGTGCAGGTGGGAGGAGGGGACGCCGAGCGCTCAGAGCGTTAATAAATCGACGGTCGCGCGCCGTGCAATCAAATCCACCGCGATCGGCCTCTGCAATCTGCGCGTACGCGTACGTGAAATCGAGAGGAAAGGGGGAGGAGAGTACGGAGATGGGGGACCGGGAAGCTGCCGAAATTACAGCCATTATCGCGATAGAGGTGAGAATCGACCGATGTTTGCTTAACCCGATCGGAAATCGACGAGAGGTCGAGCACGATCTCCTCCCCCGATTCCGCGTACCGATTCCCGAAAGGGGAGAGAGGGGGGGGGAGGAATAAGGGCAAACAAGGAGAGCGTTGTTCACCCCGAAAGATGGGCGGACTGTGCCGTTTAACCCGCGAGTTAACGGGGCGTATCCCGCGAAACGGTGCAACCACGATTTACGATCTCACGTTTCACGCTCGCATCGCCTGTACAAGGTGATTTCACTCAATCGTGTTTTCTTTTAGGTAAATATTACTATAAATAATTAAAACGAGTGGAGTTTGAGAAAAAACCGTAAATTCGATATCGTTATACAATAAATAAATAAATAGATCTACACTGAGGTCCGTTTCTATCAATGTGGATTAATTTTAATCTCGGTTTAATTTACTCTTCTTCTTTTTCTAATCTTTGAAACTAGAAAAAGATGAAGAGTAAGTTGAACGTCCCGAGATTAAAGTTAATCTACAATTGATGGAAATGGGCCTGAGATAAATATTCTGGTTAAACCAATAAAAAGACCCAACCAGAATGGTATTTTTGTGAAACAGAATTTCTAGGTATTATAATCAGAAATTCTATTTGGCCTCACCAAAATGTCATTCTGATTGAACCTTTTTGTTAATTTATCATAACCAGAACATTTTGCTTTGTATCGTTAGATGCTTATTACAATTTATTGTGGAACGAAAATGCGTGGTCGTTTAAAAAAAATTTCTAATTGAAAATGGACAAATCAGAATTTTCTGATTAAATTTATTAGAATTCTAATTGAGATAACCGGAATTCTGATTAATACAATATATCTGGTAAAATCTACCAGAATTCTCATTTTTACCAGAATAATTATATCAATCAGAATTCTAGCTATCTCAACTAGAATTCCAGAAGATTTAACTAGAAAATTCTGATTCATCCATTTTCTATCAGAATTACTATTTAATACAACCCAACGTTTTTTCTCAGCGTATCAGCGACTTTCCCTTTCGATCTCTCGCTGTTTTTCTTTATCTTCACTCGACGCGCACAACTCACGGATTTATTATTTCTCACAATGGTATACGATGATCATCGTTGAAATACGTTAAGGTTGAATGTCTCCCTCAAATTGTTTACGTCGCACGCGGCCGATGACGTCGATATAGAGCCTCTCACGCACGCGTCTGCAAGGATATCGCGTTTCCCGCGTGCGTTTTTTCCCTTTTTTTTCTTATCTACTCAAGACTAGTTAGAGCTCAGAGCCTCGTTCCTAGCTCGTACACTTGATTATGTTAATTTCGACACGCGGCGGGAAAAATTAATGGCGCGACTCGGTGGCGGTCAATCAATAAATTATCTTGTCAATGATTCTGCAAACCTAACGAGTGAATAATTACCGCGAAATATTTTCACTCAGCCGTGAGAACAGATCCAGATCGATCTGCTATTTTCTCGGCTATTTTACTCTTAGCTTATATATAATAATTAACAGAAATATATACATTACTACGTCTTGAGTTCATATGTCGAATACATGTCACGTTTGAAAATATTCAGATCAAATAAGTATGTAAACATTTGCGACGTTTTACGTCATACTTAATCATTTACACGTAATTACTTGAAAACACTCACCAGAAAGAAGCAACGTAGAGATTCCTGCGTAGCTGCAACTCAAAGTGGATCGAAGTGTTCAGTTTCTGCGACAGCAGCACCACGGACGTTAAGTTTTCCTCGATGTCTAACGAATTCTTATGGGGATTCACGATTTTTCAGAGGACGATTTGTCGAACATCTTGAACAAAGATCCGGTCAGACGTAACGATCATCAAGATATTTACGAGCGGCTCGTGTGAAGTAAAAAAGGAGCGAGCCGTCGCGCGAGTTACTTGACGTGTACACTCCTCGAGATATTATTGTCGACGGGTTTGCTTTCGAGATCTAAGCAAATGGATTCTCAAGCGTATGAGCTTCGAATATAACGGTACCGGACGTTTCGCGCGTTCGCTGATCGTTCAGAGAAATATCACTCGATTCTCTTCTTATCTCGGAGACCGTCCAGACAAACTAATCGAAAAATCCATTCGCCTTGAACCCCCCCGATGACTTTCGCCGTTTCTCAAATCTCGCACGACCTCCATTCACTCCTTGACGTAAGTCTAAAATACTCTCTCGCGTCGCATCGATATCCCTCGTCGGAATGCATAATTATCGGCGTGGCTGTTCTCCTCGGACTTCCGAGAAAATCACAGATGGGCATTCGCGAGCTTCCCCGAATCGCGTGGGTCACGAAAGATCGGCAGGGCGTCCCACTGGACGAATTTCAAAGGCGAGTCGCGACGGGGTCCTCTCGCATGGCACACTTAACACACGCGAGAACGCGTGTAACGTTACGCAAATACAGACACGTTTGATCGTAAATAGGCAGATACGTTGACACCAGCACCGAGTGACACCAAAGATCCGTATCGAAGTCACGAGGCACTTTGTTTCTCACCGCGGACACCGCGGTAACGAGAGGCGGGAAGAGGATCGTAGGTGAAGGAAGCGCCACAGGCACGTTATCTCGGTGTGTAAACGCGCTTCTCGCTCGTTCTTGCCTCTAGTTTCCGTTCCTTCGGAGAAAGAAACGCGAGACGCATAATTTACGTGCATTACGCGAGATATATGATGGTCCCGATCGAGTGGAGAGAACTATACGTTACTTCCTTCCGATCGCGTCTCGGCGCTGATGCCCTCCGGCTGCAACGACGCCAGATGGTGCCTCAAATATTGTCCTCTCGTATTTGGGAGAGTTTTGGGAATTTATTTCACCTCTCTGGTGGATTTTATTCACCTTCTTCTTGAGATTATATGACACCTGATTTAGGATTTGGAATTTATTGTTACTCTCAGATTACTTTTTCAATTTCTTAATAAAATTCTAAATAATTCTATCTTATTTTTTTTAACTTCCTGATATAACTGTAAATAATTCTGGCTATCCCAGCGTCCTGTCTTTCCTTTGTTTATATTCTTCACTGAGAAAATAATGAATCGTTGCGATTACACTGTCACTACGTTCCATGCGCTATCTTGACGCTCTCGGCAATAAAATAGCGACTGTCGATCACACGATGACGTTACGTCGATACCCGGCTTGTCGTAGTCACAACATCGCTCTTAGAGACGATCGATGGTGTCAGATCACTCATCGTTTGTCACCGTCGAAGTCGGGGGAGTCGCGTTGAAAATATTTCCTGCGATTTTTCCGCCAATCTCTTCCGCAAAACCAGTCGATCGTGAAACTCGTCGGAGAAATCGTCGTCGTTTCGGAGATAGGACAGGATTTTCTCGATCGCGCGATCGACTTAGCGCAATTGCCGATAATGGACACGTGTCTTGCGGCGTTCTCCTGTTTTTCCCTTTTTTTTTCCACCGTCGTGCATGGAGAGAGGACGACGGGATATCGCTGGCGCCGCTGCTCGACGTTTTCTGTTCACTTCCTCCCGCGAGAAAACCACCTTCGGGTCGGTCCAGCGCGCAACAACCGTCGTTTACGTAACCAAAGAGCGTTGCGTTAAATCCTCGCGATGTCGCGGTTTCGTGTGCGGTAGCAAACTGTTGTCTGTTTTTTATTCCTGCACTGAAACTCTCTTTGTCGCTTTCATCAAAACATATATCTATCTCTGCTCAAGTTCCAAAAGTGTACTAGTTCAGCCACAGAAAAGACCTCCATATACATGGGAAACGACTCCGCCGTCGCACCGTCCAGCTGTTCTGTTTCTGTGCTCCGAGTCTTTCCTCGCGAGATCGAGATGTCAAACTGGTATCGCGAGCGCAAAAGATCGCGACATACGGAGCTCGATAATTACGACACTTCACAGATTTTCATCAACGCCCGCCAGCAGATCGAACTTGGAGAACGAAAAGTGTCCTATTCCTTTGATTATCCCTGGCACTCCGGTCGATCGCGATCACTTTCACGAACTTCGTTTTTGTTGTTTTCGCTCATTCGGCGGAAATCCGCTGCCTCTTCGGAGTGACGAATCGTCGGCGCGGACTCGCGACTCGGAATCCGACACGCCGTGAAATCGGAACCGATACGCGCTGTAATCCGTCCTCGACTCCTCGACGTCGAGAGACCGGGAGCGGTGGTACTCGCGCGGAAATCGGGAGTAGCACTGACTCGCTCCGGCCGAAGCGACGCGGCGATAGGCAAGATCCTCCCGCTTGCGTGCCGCGCGCAGCGGCGACTTTTCTCGAGGGATGCGAGTCGTCGGCAGGGTGAAAGTTACTTTGGCCGGATGATCCTTTCACTGACGATGTTCAGGCGCGCTTTCTTCTTCTTCTTCTTCTCAATTTTTTTATTGGCACTCGCCGAATAAAATGGCGGCGAAGAAAATCCGGCCAGCGAACAAAGTCTCTTTTTCGAATGTGGCAGTTATAAAGTTTAGACGCGCGATGAACTTCCCTTCGTAAAGCCGGCGAGAAAACGGTGGAATACCCAGCGCATATATATTCGGCGATCAAGTTCCTCGTGAGAATATAACGACACGTCCCGTAGCGACACGGCAGCGAACCGATATCGCGTGATCCCGTGCCTCATCGATCGAGCGATCGGTTCTCGCTAATCGTTTCTCGACACGGCGATCCTCTCCCAGGCCGAATGTTACGACCGTTACGCCCGTAATGCTCCGCTCGGGGTGAGCCGCGGCGTTTGCCCGGTTTGCCGCTCGTCCCCGTACGCGCCGGGCTGACGACTCGGCGTCCTCGGCGATCGACGACGTGTACTCCTGCGATCGTGAGTATCGTGACCAGGTCGGCGGGGCGACGCATGGCCATACGGCGGAGACACCGTGAAAGCACCGGCGATGACCGTCGCTGACTGGCGGCGCGGCGCGAACGTGAGTCGAGTGGTGAGTCGTGAGCGTGAACGACTTGTGGCTTGCGCGCGTTGCGAGTGCGATGTGCGATGTGCGATGTGCGCTGAGCGCCGGATCTCGCTTGAGCGGCTTGAGTCTCGCTACGACGCGACACGAGCGCATCGGCATCAGTCGGCTCTCCTCTCACAAACCGCCGCGCCGGCACCACCACCCAGACAGAACCCCAAAGCCCGGCACATCGCGCACTCCCGCCTCCCACTCCGCCGCGGGCATCATCTTTCCCCACCATCGCGTCGGGATGCCGGCATCCCCGGTGCCCCGACCACGGGATCCCACCGGCACGCGAATAACAAGCGAGTTTTTTTCGATCGGCCCCGCGCGTCTACCCTCTCGAGTCTCGATCCCGAGGTAGCTTCTCGTGCGAAAGTGTAACGCCTCGATCCACAGATTTACAAATATCGTAAATTCACTGTATATTATTCGGAGGACGATTATTCATCATTTATGTAAGCACATGGAAAAGGAGTCGTATTCTAATGGAGAAAATGAACAAATTAGAATTTCATTAAACCTATTATAATTCTAGTGGAAATAATCAGCTGTTCAATCATGATGACCGGAATTCTGATTGATTAGAATCTACTGGCTCGTTAATTTTCAATCAGAAATTTTTCTCTTAATGCAATTTACTTACACTTGACTTATTCTTGAAGAGCCACAAAATTATATTTATTTTTTCTTAATTTATATAATTACTAAGTTTAAGCAGCGGTAATTGTAACCGAATTGAGTAGTCTATGCAGATTTTGTTATGATGATTCGACAAAATACGAATTTCTAGGTGACTTGCAAGTTCACTTTGTTGTCCACTTTGTTGAAACGATATGTATATTAAATATTTATTTGCACCTATTTGTACTATGATTACGAATACTTTCAAGCAAGTAGTGATCCGAATACTTATTATTTCTACTTGTGCATGTAAAGTATCACTTATCGATGAATAGAATTGGAACGATAAATGTTTATAAAATCCTATTTTTCCATTTCTTTATCTCCGAAGCGACAGACATTTATACAAATAATACACAGTTATTGTAAAATTTAAAACACATGTATTTATCGATGATAATACTTTTCGGGGTACTTGAACCTTCATTGGTAATGTCGTCATTATACTTCCACCCGATATATCGAAAGTGCTTGGTATAGAAAGCGTGAAGCGTTTCTCCCCGAAATTACACGATGCTCAAAAAAATCGCAAGATCCCAAACAGGAAGGTTTGTTTTCGCTCGAATCCGGCGTGTATGTTTTAAACACCGATTGATCCTCGTACCGGGCCACCGAATTAACTTCGCACATCGATTATCCGCGATAACATCGGCACGCTCGCGGGTATATATATCGCGCTCGCACCTTCGAATCCATCGTTTATCGCGTCGATTAACATTTCGCAGACTACGCGACACTCTTGCACGTTTCACAATTCACGGTTTCGTGTCTTCCCGGCACGGAACCGGCAGGTTCGACGCGCTCCGACCGAGCGGCCGGGATGCACCTGTGGATACACGATGCACAACACCCAGGGCTCTCCGCGCATAAAACACTGCCCCACTCTTGGCAGTGGTGGTGAACGACGTCAGACCAATCTCCGGCCACGCGAACCGTCTTAAACTACTTATTTCTTAGCGAGAGATCCGCTTATCTCGATCCTGAAACCGAGACCTCGCTCTTTCTCTCTCTCGCTCGCGTTCGCGCGCGCTAAAAATACCGCGAAAGATTGCTACGTAGAGGCACGCAAATTACCGGTCTGCGCTTAATTGCGGCGAAATTACGCGAGATTTAATTTTCGTTAAACTCGACCCACGTTTAGTCCACGTCTCTCGAAAGCTGATATTCACCGTTCACTATATTAAGAGGTCTATCTACTTGTGCAACGTGGACGCGCCGGTTGATGACTGGTCAAGAGATATTGTACTGATAATTGTACCCTCGCATACACGTATTTATCTTTACTTTAGAAGAGGAACGTACAGTAATTTCATATTGACAATGAAAACATTTAAGATTGACAAAATCTACAAGTATAGAATCTTGTAATTCGCAAAGATTGAGATTATTAAAGTGATTGCACGCTCCTTCGTTTTATCTCCTCTCTAAAACTGCCGTAAGGGATTGGCGTAATCTTCGTTGATGTATCTATAAAATTATCACCGCGCGCGCTCGCGTCGCTTAGCGTGTTAGACCCTCGTTGAAAGCCAAGGTGTATTCGCGTTCTACGAACTGATTTACGCGCATTTACTTCTGGAATTATGACGGTCCTTAGCGCGAATAAAGGCGGACAAAAAGTTACGCACGACGGTTGAGCGGTCTCGAAAGCGTCGCCGGAGCATCGCTAAGTATCTGCGCGAATTTATAAGGCCGCGATGTGGCGCGAGAAAGGACATAACAAAATGAGTCGTAAAATATGACACTGCCCGAAGCGCTTCCTTCCTACACATACGCTGCGCGCGCACGATCGATCTTGCTCCGATATTACGGGGGTCCTTATCTCATCTTTGGAACTCGTTTAAGACCCGTTTCGGCACCTCAGTTCTCCCGATTGCGTCCACTTCAATTACCGACGCCCTTGTTCCAAGAACGGCCCACGTCCACCGCGGAATTTACGGGTCCTGCCAAATTTACTTTTGCGCTTTTGCTTTAAACGAAGCTTCAAAGACGTTCTTATGCAACGGCATGAATGTCACGTTTTAAAACGCCATCTCATTATATAAAAAAGAGGCAGTAACTTATACGGACAAACTTCAGGGGATGGATCTCCCACTAAAAGAATCAACTTTGTTAAGGAATCTGTGTTTGCCGATACAGATTTTAAAGAGCTACG